CTGGCAAAAATGCCTAAGTAATGGTGGTAACTATGCTGAAAAATAGAGTTCTGAGAATTTAGTGAGAATGGTGTTCTCGTATTCTTTGTATCTGTTGTAGTTAAATGAATAGAGAAATGAATAGAAGATGTTACTTTTGGTGCAACCTACAAACTACTATTACTGTTATTAAATTGAAACAGACAGTGCTTTTTTAGAAATTCACTTTACTTTGCAGAACTGATTTTTAATGTCAGTGCTCTATTTAGAAGGTACTTTTATTATATTTACCAAGGTTTTTCTCCCAATATTTTAGCTAAGAATGCTAATTTAAATTTGAAGATTGACTTCATGCCATAAGATGATATGGTATTAACAGTCTGTTTTTATCTGCTACCTGTATTATTTTATTTTTTTTTAAAAAAAAAGCACCATAAAAATTTGTATAGTTGATTACCATTAGAAGACTTAACTTTTCTAAATAGTGCCTGTCAGTTCAGTCTTTGACAGTCCTTTACAGATTGCATTAGGAAAAAAAAGAAAAAAAAGAAAGGAAAAAAGGAGCTAAATATTGATCACAGCTGAAGTCAGCCTCTTTGATGTTTTAAAAAGTCTGGTGTTGTTTCATTTTGTTTGTCTGGCCACTTTTTAAAAATGTGTGTGTGTGTTTGTGTATATATGTATATTTGAGACACATATAACCAACAAGTAATGAATAACAGATTTAATTTTATTCATCCTTCCCACAGTGGCTTGCAGGGCCATTCCTTGACCTTGCAGTTTCCCTTGATTGAGAGAAAGGTGCAGAACTTGAAGTATTGCTTCCTTTTGTTTCTAAGCTACTTATAGCTTTATCGTGGTGTCAAAGTTTCCTTATATTTAGCAGAACACCAATATTGGTAGTTTTGACTAAACCAGATCTTTAGAAAAGAAAAAAAACACTGGCAAACAATATTTCCTTGTAACTTTTGTTAACACACTTCAGCAATAATCAGAAATCTTGACAGAACTTTCTTGGAACATCTGCTTTCTAGCTTGATAGAGCTTTTGTCCTCATTGTGAGCTCATCCCCAGTAGCGTAAAACATTTTTAAATTGGTAGCACTAATTCAGAAAATGACCTTGTTAAATATTTTGAGACCCTTGATTGTAAAACTCCTTTGATCCTAAGAGAAAAGAAAACTAATTACGTGGCATCTTTTTGAATTTAGTCCTCACTGTCTCCCCAAGCCCCATTAGGTCCTAAGCTCCCTAGAGAATGGTTGAAGGTTAGAAAGAAAGTATACATGAATTTTCCACTAGGAAAATTACAAAGCTAAAAGTAGGCTGCCCAATTACATGTCACAGACACTTGACTATAACACATGGTCAGAAGCAGTAATCATCAGCATCTTGTTGCCATACCCAAGCATAGAATGTATGAAATAATTATTTATGACACATGGACAATGGCCAAACAACAAATAAACAAAAAAAAAAGTCCACTTCAACAGAGGATGGGTACAGGAACAGAGGTGGTAGGTGCGTATGATTTCACCCCACTAAATCCACACAGAACTTTTGTATTTACATCCTTTTTACCAACTGCCTTGAATATACAACTGGAGTATTTATTCTTGATATCTCCTCTTGCTATTCTTAAATTAGAAGGTACTTTCAACTTGGACATATGAAAATACCATCAAGATAGTTTCCCCAGGCAGTATATTAGCACTTAGTCAAATATAGCTGCCTCCAGAATCACTACTGTCCCTTTTTAGCAAGCTACCTAAGTAAAAAGTAAGCTCTGTTTTTTCTCCCTAAATATACTAAAATGATTCTTCTTGTCCTTATCCTTATTTGGCATGGAATTTACCATGGATTTTCAGATCTGTCATCAATTTTCTGCATTTCATAACACATAATTTATAACCATTTCTACGAACCTCTCAGTTTTTTATAACATATATATTAAATATGAGAGAGACATTTTTGCTCATACTATGATTTCCAGTTAGGACATTAAGGTTTTATTATGGATGTATCTGAATACACTGCAAAAAAAAAAGCAGAAAGGCACCTATAAATTATTCAGGTCATTTTAAGTGAATGCCAGTAAAGTCACCATACACAACAGCATTTATTTTGGAATTTAACATTCAAGTCATTACTCTGTTTCTAAGCATCAGCTTTGTAATGTATGTTCTGGTATAGATGGAGCCAGCTGTCTTTAATTTTCATGCAGATTCATTTAGGAAACAGAAAAAAAAAAAAGAAGAAAAAAAGAAAAGACGAGAAGGAAAACTTTACTCTCAGAAAGATACTCTTTAAAACTCTTCCCCCACTTTTTAAATAGTTTATTCTTTGCTTTATATTTTTGAGAGACATTACATTATGAAGCACCAAGGCTCCTGAGGTGCACAGTCTAACATTTCTCATTGTTCATTCAAAGAACACTCACAAAAGCTGAGAAAGCAGATTGAACATTTACACTCAGACGATCATAACAGCAGATTACCAATACAAACGTTAGTGGAATGGTGATCAGAGCAACAAACAAAACTCTTGTCTTTCCTCACTAGGCCATCAGAAATTTTTAACCATTAAAAAAAATGCTTTCAAGGAATCTTTTCTTGTAGCTGTACTTAATAGCTTATAATGGAAGAAGTTAACAGGAGCAGTATAATTGCTAGAATCAAAAGAGAACATGTCTAATATTGCACTATTCAGTCAAATGGGTGAACAAGTAAAGATGGATAAGGATGAATTAACTCTTTCACAGTAATGAATTGATTTTAGCACTGCAACTAGTATTTTGTGAAAGTTTGTAACGTTTCTCTGTCAAGGGTCAGAAACAAAACAACCAGGTTTAATCAGATTACAAACACTAATAGACAATCTCTCTAAAATGCCCGTAAACTTCTCAGATTAGACAAAAAGTCTTCAGAGAAGGGAGTCCCTGGATTCCTCACCCTTAGACAGATTTCATCAAAATATGGAGTGACACAGATGACAGAAAAGAAACTGTTGGGCATGACAACTAGAAACAGATAATACTACATGTAGATGAGAAGGGCTAAGGTACTGATTTCCTGATTGAGTGGGAAGGAAAACAGTTGGCTTCCCGTGTAACATTTGAGGCACTACTTTGTTTATGGATATTGCCTAGAATGGAACAAGTTGTCTTAATTCCTGTTTAGAATTGCAGGGTGTTACTATAAGTAATGTATTAAAAATCAGACATATTTATTTAGAATAAGGCAAAGAAGGAAACAAATCTAGATAGCACTCTCTTTGTTAAATGAATGTAATACATGTAATGATTAACAGATTAACTCATTTTGTTGAGCAACCAAAATGTCTGTGTCTAGCAAGTGGCATATATAATTTCCACAAGGCAGCAAGTGAGAAATCACTAGAAATTCAAACTCTTGAGGGATTTCATTCACTCACAATGCGTTAGACAGTCAACATAATGTTGAAACTACGAGAGAAATACTTAAGATTATGTAGCCTGTTTTTTTTTTTTTTTTTTTTCCCCTAGGTAGTTTCAAAACAAAATAAAAGATGAATTTTTAATTATTAAAACAGTTGTTGCTATGGTTGGCAGACTGAAGTGTATCATAATACATTGGTAAGCACTTCATTGCTTGTCTTTATTAATAAAGATAGCTTTGTTGCAGAATGGTTCTACCAAAGAAAATGTTACCTCAATTGTCCTAAATCAGCTTATAAGGACATAAAACAAGAAAATCTCAACTAATAACTAGGAATAGCAGGTCAGCACATTCAAACTCCTTTTTTATCTAGAGTCTGTTCACCAAAGACGGATATTATGAACGAGTTGATTACATTTTCACAGCTGGAGACCTGTCCTCTAGTCTAGTTCTGATACAAATTATCAAAGTGTGCCTCTCCTCCTCTGAAACTCTCTTCCTAAAGCTTTCTAACTGGCAGTAGATCTCCTTGAACTGCCCCTACTCAGGAACGCCCTCTGACAGGTGGAACAGCAGCTAATGGAGCAAGGACCCAGAACAAAGTGTGGGTCCGCTCATGTTTGTCTAGCATATGGTACAGTAGGAAGAACATACATCTGTGCATCTGCTCAAATATATTTACTAGCCAATTTTTCAACATGGAAATTACCCAGCCATGAATTCTGTTTATCCTGATTAAAAATATGGGGATTATGTTGGCTCTTCTTATTTCTTCTTTTAAATGAACTACTGATGTTATTATCTGCACTTTTCTAGGCGTTTCTAAAGGACCTGAAAAAGCATTTACAAGAATAACCAGAACTGAAGTTTCCAAATACAGCAACTAACCAGTACAAATAATTAAAGAACTTGGTCACATTGGTAGCAAATAAATAGCCAAAGTGAGAAGAAAATATTGTATATTCTCTTCATTGTTTTCTGTTCTAACTGGCACAATAGGACTTTTCAAAACTTTGAAATTAAAGAATACAGGTTTAATTCAGTAAGCTGTGTGCATGAGGAATTACTACAATAGTTGGCATACCTAATTTCAGGACTGTGTAGATTATCTTTAATCATTTTCTCTGTCAAATTCTCAGCTAACATCAAAGTTAAAAATCAGCTGCTAATGTAGTATCTCCTTTCCTAAGGAATTCAGTACTGAACTCACTAGTGATTCAGAGTTTAATTTATATCATGACTACTAATTCTTTAAGAGCTCACATGTTTGCACAAGGAAAGATTAAAAACAAAAAAAACATACAAAAAAACCACCCCTAGTAAAAATAACTATGAATCAAAAAGTAAATCCAGAAAATGTTAACTGCCTAGTGTATCTTCATATGCATCTCTTGGGAATGCCTGGGTAGTAGATTTAACTTCCTTTTACTAGACAGAAGGAATCAAAAAGTCTGCAAGAGTAACTGAATTGTCTCAATTATTTGTGAAAGAGTTAGAAGATACTAATCTTCCTTAAGTTGCTGAATGGACTAAATTAGAAAATGAGCTGAAGGACTGAAGGCAAACTTGAACAGGTTTCAAAAAATCCTCCACTGCTTGCAGAGTTTGTATTTTTATTTATTTATTTTCAAATATCCTGTGGCTAAATCCAGTAATTATAGGATGGAAACATTGCTAAAATCATTGGGGAAAACTGCAAACAAAATATCTATCTCCCTAATCCATTCTCAAGAAAGAAAATTCTTTGGCTTAAGAGCAGCTTCACAGTTCTTCAGTGTTAACCTGCTAGCTGAAAGTAGTTGCACTGAAGAAAAACACAGCATATTTCAAACATGCCAGGAAATGCCATTTGATGTCATATTTCCAATTCACGCTGGATTATGCCAACATTTGTCACGGTTCTGGTTGATGTGACTTATTCCTCACTCAGTTCAATGCCAGCTCTGCTGCGAAGTAACTGCAAGTGGAAATAATACTGAAGGTACAAACTCCTCTGTACTTGCCATGTGAGGGTATCTGAGACATAAAAGTTCTAAGAACCAACAACTAGGTACTCTCCATATGTGGATTATAGAAAATAGGCTGATAATTTGCCTGAGAAGCTGACCAGAACATGCTTGTTCTTCACAAGATCTCTAGAAAGGAATGTGTTTATCTACACTAAGAAAAGAAGCAAAAATTCAAGTATGTAATAGCATACAATTCTCTTTGGCCACCCTTCACCCTTTTAAAAAATGGTAAATAGTTAGAGAACGCATTTTTCAAATTCCATCACAAAACACAAAATTGATATGTTACATGGGAAACACAACAGCCAATGGGAAATGCAAAATAAGCTGCACAATATGAAGAAATTGACAAGGGAAAAAAGTACACCATAAGATGAGTGAAATCACTGTTAAATGCTGCCCATGGAATACAAAGAGATGAATTATGTTTTCTTCATAACAGCTCTCCTACCATATTCACATAAGAAATAATGTTTTTAACCCTAGAAACTGGACAAGCAAGATATTAAAGGATCAGAGATTTCACTACTTCTTCCTCCCATACAGCCATACACCAATAAGGACTTGATCCAGGAAAAGTGCAGATAATATTGTTTCCTTTTTTTTTTTTTTTTTCTAAAAGAGAACTTTGTTCTAATTTGCTTAAATTATAATTAGCATATCTTTGAAGTTATTCACAGCTAGAGGCAATATCCCCTTGCCCTTCCACCTTCACTCTTATGTGAACTGTTGGCAGTTCTGTCGCCAAAAAAAGATGATCAAACCATTGGCCATACCTGCAGTATGAGTTCTGGCCATACAAACCACTCCCCACACTACTTCATGATAGAAGCTAAATTAGCTACAGCTTTGGAGAAGAACTATCTGCAAACGCCATCCTCTTCATGTAAAAACCCTGTAAAGACAATAAATATCCTTTATATTTCAGAAGAACAAAGTTTTACTTAAAGGCAATGTAAAATGAGAATAAGCTTTCTAAAGAGAAATGTCAGATAACGTGTTCAGGAAGAATGGAACCACAGGGAGAATAACTATCACTGCCCTTGCTTACTGAGTCCTTGCTAGTGGGCCTTTGCTTCCTAAATTGATTTCAGATGAATCAGTGACTCAGATACAACAAATACTATTAGTCCTCTCTAGAAAAGTTATTTTCCTCAAGCATAAAAACTGTCTCTTTAACTCTTAGTAAGCCATTTATTCAATCTGAGAAATTTCTCAGCCTTCATATTTCCAGCCTTCCTCTCTTTTTGTTGTCCTTCTCCATAGCTTGTGAAAACCTTTTCCTTATAACCCACAGTTGCTTCTACAGAAAGAGAAATCTTATCTTCCTTCTGTAGACACTGTCTTCATGTCCTTTTAATTTTTTTTAATTTAAAATACCACAACATTGAACCATGAATCAAAGACAAAATTTTTTTAAATTTCCATAATAAAAAGGCCCATCTATTTCCACATATTACTGTTACTGCCATCCAGATGCTTTAGTTGCTGTTGGTTTTTTTAGGACTTTGCAGAATAACTAGTGACCTGTCATCAACCAATAGCCACCATAAGCATAGATGTTTCTTTTCTTAATATTTTTTTCCTTAACTAATCTCTTCTTCAGGTTCAGACTGATTAATGATATTCACCATACGAAGTGACTGAATCACTGAAACACTCATTCTGAAATCAAACTTTGATTGCTGTACCAAACCATTGTTTCTTTTAATACACATAACAGATAAGAAGCACGTTTATTCATTTATTTGACTGATTAGGTTTTTTTTTTTTTTTCTGTTTAGATTAGTTCTGCTAAGTCAGCATTTAAATAGTGAGAGATAATTTTTGATAGCTATTGCAAAATTAAACTCTCTACTACACCTTTTCAGCTTTCAATATACATATAGGTACTTGTTTCTACTAAATGTGAGCTTAATGTATTTCTTGACATAGAACAAGTTCTACTATTAATAACACAAGAATATAAAATTCAGGAAAGTTTTGAGTTTATGCAGTTTTTTTGTTTTTAAGTAAATAAATGAATAAAGGTATACGGCTCTCTCCTAGCCTTCCCTGGCCTGCATTTTCCTGTCTATTAACATTACTACAGACTGTAGGTAGGATTTGTAACTTGTAACTGCCCCAAAAGCTGCGTGCTCATTCCTGCCTTGATCTGGTAATGCCAATGGAACTCAATACTCTTTTTACAGGGGACAAAACAGGAGTTAAAGCACAGGTTAAAATTGCATAGATGTACATGAAACAAAGAAGCAAGTAGTTCTCTACAGTTCTTTCTTTACATAAAAGAGTTTGTGAGGCAATTTCTGACATTTCACCAGGAAAAAAAAACAAAAACAAGTACGCTGTTGGAAGAAAACCTGGAACAGATTGCAATATAGCAAACCTGAAAATAAAACTCTGAATGCTGGGAGTATACAAGATACCTATACTGTTTCTGTCAGTGATAGAGAACTACTGGCATGATACTCAAAGAAAGATGGGCAGCATCACTGAAAGCTTATCTGAATCATTTGGTGACATGGAATTTATTTGAAGTCATAAATTCTTGTATTGTTAGTTACAGACTTACTCCAGCAGTCATCTAAGAAGCATCAAGTTGTCATAGCACAGTAAGGAATCAGGTCCTTTATCATCTCTCCCATTCTTAGAATCTAACAGCATTACAGATTGTTTGCTTTCATGTGTGGGTTTCGGCACATGTTGAACATTTCTGTGAGGAAGTATACTACTATAGTTTCAGCTTGTATATTGAAGAGATATTGTCTCTGTTAAAGGTGACCTGAAAGTTATTTTAGATGATTGTTTTTTTAAATTTTGTTCATTTATTACAAATAAAATTGCCTAAGAAATTTTAGGCTATTTCTAAAAATTATTTTCCCATTTTCTGTTTTTATTTTTATATGTGCTGTCACTTGAATTCTAGTTTTACTCAAGAACAAGATAGACCGTACATGATTATCTAAATTCTGTTTGAAGCTGGGGAAATAATAAAGACTGCTGCAACATAAACCTGCTCTGCTCCACAGTAAGCCTACAATAAGAGCTCATCAGTGTTCTGTTACTCAAGGACTACCAGGCCTTTATCTCTTCTGCTCTGGGCCTGAAACTCTGCAGTCACTCTACTCATTAGTCTTTTCATTTTGTGATTGATGACTTTGGTGTGTAGTTGCCTTAAAGAGAAAGGCCAAAAGGCAAGAGATGCTGTTCAAAGCCTCCAAAGAGTAAGCAAATGGAACACACATACACAGATGTATCGATACTTAAACAAATCTTAAAAAACAAACAAACATACAGCACAGGATAAAATGTCTTAAGACTCACTAATATTATTTTTTTTTCCTTCAAGAGTGATGATTTGTATGCTTATAGGAAGATGAAGCGTATTCTAGTTTGAAACAGGAAAATGCATCCAGAATCAAAATGTTAACTATGCTAAGAAGTTTTCTCACCTAAAGCCAGGTCAGCTGCATCTGGGAATTGTGAGCACTCCTTAATCTTTCATTTCATGTGCACAATAGAGTTTAGAGTTCTAAAAGATCTGAGCAACAGTTCTGTACTGCAAAGAATAGAGATTTCTTTTTTCATACCTGTTAAACAGAAGCATTAACAAGATGTAAAGTCCCTACTGAGAATGCAATGTGAAAATGTACTCAGTGGTGCTTGTTTCTTTAGGAAATTATAGAGCTAGTAACTTGATTGATTTAACTTCCCTCTTTCTATCAACTCTCAAAAGATGGAGCATTCTAAAATGTACAGTGAAAAATCTTTGTTAAAAAGATTGTATTATTTAGAAAATCAAATTAGATGACTTATTTTTCCTTAGTTGAGAGCTGCACATGCTGTAATCACAGTGTATCACAAGAGCGTGAGGCTGCTTCACTCAAAGGATATTTGAAAATCCACAGGCAGAGAAACATCTAAAGGCAGCCTCTGTGTTCTAGATACAGTGAAGACAAAGGTTAAAACAAAGAAGTCAAGAATTCTGTTTAAGTGATGTGTACAATATGGCTGATTATATCCCAAGGCAACCTGACCTAGTACCTGATATAGTGGATGGCAGCTCTGCCTCTGACAGGGAGGACTGAAACTGGAAGATCTGAGGTCTCATCCTACCCAAGCTTTTCTATGATTATATGATGTAAGAGATTATTATTTTACATCATTGTCTCAAAGCTTGCTGAGGACACAGATGAACAAGTTCAGGCAAGTCCTGGGCAGGGGTTGAGAAATCCTCTGTCTGGAGAACTTTGACGGACAAGTCCTGGGCAAGGATTGTGAAATCCGTTGTCTGAGGGACACAGATGGACACTGCCAGGGTCAGTGAGAGAGAGATAAGCTGCAGTTTAATGGCCGTGAAGCTATCTTTTGTGTGGGCTTATCTCAAAGAAGATGGCCATCTCAGGAGGTACTCACATGACTCTTGCTCAAGCACCCAGGGATGTCACCTAGGCAGAAAGAGAAGAAGGATAAAATGGGGACCTACAATCTTGAACAACGTGAGGTTTTCTGGCAACAAATTCCTCATGAAGAACGAGAGGTTTCTGCCATGAAGAAGCCTCACAACCTGCCTCTCTCCCTCCCGGACTTGCTCTGCACTCTACCACTATGTTGAAGAAGAACAAAGGTGCCTGCCATCAGATTCCTCACTATGGAATTCCTGCATGCTGACAGACTCTCCTGGGCCCGCTACCTGAGTCCTGCTGCTTCCTCCTAGATTGGCTCTGCAGTTTCCTCCTGCTACCTGTTGCTGCACAAGGCCAGCCATGCTGCTGCTCTTCCCCCCTGCTGCTTTTGCCTCGGACCTTCAAAATGGCATGCAATGGGACCGCTGCTGGATCCTGGTGGTGACTATCCCCGCTTTACGCAATTTTTGCTTCTTTCCTATCTTTTCTATCACCCTCCTTCACTTCCCCATCTCCCTGATTAGGATTTATAATAAACTGGTTGGACTGACATATGAACTGTTGTTTCTTAATCTCACGCCAGGTATACAGATATTAAAAGAACCTCATCTCCCTCCTATAAATTGGAGTGAGACATATGATTCAATAATTCTATGAATACAGGCGAAGAATGATTAGACTCTGGTAAAGAATGTGAAGAACAGAAGATGGAGAGTGAGAATTATGTCCTTCACAAAGTGTGACTCCTTTTTCTCCACAATCATCTCTACTCTTGTGTTTTATAGGTTTTTTTTTTCTTTTGTGCTAAGATAAGAGATAAGATTTTCAGCTGTGAGTCCACAAAATGTTTCAATAAAAGATGAAAAAGAGCACTATCTTTTTCCTGTCATTTCTGTTATTTTAAATTAATTCAGGATTCACTCTAAACTAAGAAAACTGCAAGTGTACATTAAAAAAGCACCAGAGCTTTCTATTAAGTATTTGAACTTTTAATATAGCTGAATTTCTAACTGAAAAAAATAACATTTTTTATATTTTATGACTTGAAATGTGATGTCATATCTACACGAAAATAGAACCATAAATCTGGGAGTCTCCTAGTGTTTACAATACATTTTAGATTAGAAATAGGGGGGATTACTTCTTAACTAATAAATAGATTAGCAGCAGAACCCTCAGAATTCTTTCACCTAATAGATTTCATTACAGAAATTTCCTCTTATCCTTTCCAGTATGAATAGTTACTCCATATATTTTATTTATTTTTAACAGTAAAGTACTAGAAAATGAGACATACTGATGAGATTTTCTGGAGATTACAACTTTCATTAACAATCTTTTTCACTCCAGTATGGACCTTATCATACCAAAAGCCACAGGCATAAGAATGTATTCAGGATAAAGTTCAAATAAAAGAGAGATATGCAGAGAGAAGGAAAAAACCTTACAAATCATTGAAATAAATGCTGCTAGTTTCTTTCATCTATTT